AATAGACTTTGAATCCTTCTGGGCTCGTGACTACTACTCCTCCCCCTGCTCCTTTTTTGCTACTTGACCCGTCAGTAGCCAACGACCACCACTCAGCCTCGGGATCCGCAACCTCAGGAGGCCGAGTATCCCGGGCGGTGCACTCAACCAAGAAGTCCGCAAGAGCTTGACCTTTAATAGCCGGTCTTGGTCGGTATTCGATCGCGTACTGGGTCAACATTAACGCCCATTTGACTAGGCGACCTGATGATGAAGCAGTTCGGAGGACTGGACCGATCGGCTGATCGGTCAACACGCGAATTGCTCGACCCTGGAAGTAGGGAGCCAACTTCTTCGCGGCAATGTACAAGGCGTAGACGACCTTCTCTAGCCGGGAGTACCGGAGCTCGGGACCATGTAGCGCGTGGCTTACATAGTACACCGGTCGCTGGACCCCTTCCGGATCGGTTCGGCACAATACTGCGCTTACTGCGCGATCGGACACGGCGAGGTACACGTCTAGCTCTTCCCCGAGCTCAGGCTTTGAGAGCACGATCGGTGACATGAGGTATTGCTTCAGCTCATCAAAAGCCGCTCGACATTCTTCGTCCCAGACGAATCCATTAACCTTCCGCAATACCTTGAAGAAAGGTAAAGCGCGCTCGGCTAGCTTGGAGAGGAACCGGCTGAGGGCTGCCAACTGACCGGTCAATTGCTGGACTTCCCGAACGGTGGAAGGTGGCTGCATGTCCAGAATCACTTTTACTTTGGCCGGGTTGGGCTCGATTCCTCTCTTGGTCATCATATAGCCGAGGAACTTGCCGGTCTGAACCGCGAATGTGCACTTGGTCGGGTTCAGCCGCAACTGGTACTTCCTCATGATCTGGAAGCACTCCCGAAGGTCCCGAGTGTGGTCGGATCGGTCCCGACTCTTGACCAGCATATCATCGATGTAAGCTTCCATCGTTCGGCCCAGCAGATCAGCAAAGAGCATGTTGACCATCCTCTGGTAGGTGGCTCCTGCGTTCCGCAGACCGAACGGCATCACTCGGTAACAATACAGCCCATCCGGGGTCACGAAGGCTGTCTTGCTCTCGTCTTCATGGTGCATCATGATCTGATGGTACCCCTTGAAGGCATCCATGAAGCTCATTAACTCGGCCCCGGCCGTCTCGTCGACCATCTGGTGAATGCTTGGTAGAGGATACGGGTCGAGCGGACAGGCTTTGTTGAGGTCCGTGAAGTCGATACACATCCTCCAGGCTGGGGGCTTCGGGACAAGAACGATATTTGCCACCCACTCGGGATAAATCACCGGACGGATGTGCTCGATTGCCGCCATCTTTTTGACTTCCTCCCTGACAAACTCACGGCGATCGGATGAAAGGTGTCGTGTTTTCTGCACGACCGGCTTTGCTGCGGGATCGACGGCTAACTTGTGACAGATGACCGACCGATCGATCCCGGGCATGTCTTCAGGGCCCCACGCAAAGATATCAGCGTATTCCCGAAGTACGGCCAAAACTTCCGCTCGGAGCTCGGGAGTGAGGGCTCGGCCAATCTTAATCTTCCTGTCAGGGCGGTCCTCGGACAGGGGAACTTCTTCTATCTCTTCGGAAGGCTCGGGCTGCTCCTTCCGTTCCTTAGCCTGCTCTTTGGCTATGGTGTTCACCCGGGAAGATGGACCGGAATCACGTCGATTAACCGCTCGGGTGTAACACTTCCGGGCGGATTGGACATCGCCACGGACCACGCCGACCCCGTTAGGGGTGGGGAATTTCATGCACAGGTGGGGCATAGAAATTATCCCACCGATCTTCATAATGGCGGGTCGGCCCAAGATAATGTTGTGGACGCAATGGAGGTTGACCACAACAAATTCCAGCTCCGTTTGGATCGACTTTGGAGGCGTGCCGATCTCGACCGGGAGCGTTATTTTTCCCTCGGGGTAGATAAGAGCCCTGGTAAATCCTGACAGTGGTACACCGACCGGAGTCAGCTCCTTCCTGTCGAGGCCAAGCTTCTCAAACACGTCCAAGTATAGGACGTTCACACTGCTGCCCGTGTCAACCATAACCCTTTGGACGTCCGTCCCCTTAACGTCGATCGTGACCACGAGCGCCTCCATGCCGTGGTCGCTGCTGCTAGGTTGGTCCTCAAGGGTGAAGGTTATGGGTTCCATCTTCTGTCTCTTCCCAGTTTCCCGAGAATCTACGATCGCGACTGGACAATTCGTCCTCGATCGAGATGCATCTTCCAGCCCGCCGAATATGACATGGATGGTGGGCTTGCCGGATGGGCGGCTACCGGATGGAGGGTCTAGGTCCCGTCGGTCATTGTGACGATCGTCCCTTCGATCGTCTCTTCGGTCCTGACCCGACCGATCAGAGCGGTGATGAGATCGCCTGTGATCCCTCCGATCGGTATTTCTCTTGCTGTCTTCTCTCTTTCCCACACACTTGTCCAATTTTCCCAAATTGAGCAAATCTTCCAATAATTGGCGCAAGTGGGTACACTCCTCAGTGTCATGCCCGGCGCATCGATGGTAAGCACAGTGCTTACTCTTGTCAGGGCCATCTCGATCGGGATGGGGGAGTTTGATGAGGTTGCAGGACTGGGCGTATTGCATGGCCTCCGCTGCGGATCGGTTCAAAGCCGTAAATTCTCCAGGCCTGGTGCGGGATCGGGGGTTGTCATCTCCCGACCTATGTTCCGCCCGGCTGGCCGGTTTACGGGACGAAGAGCCGACCTCCTGCGAACGCTTGACAGCATTCGCCTCACCTGCGTTGGCATAATCAGTGACCCTTCGGAGGGCCTCCTCATAGGTGGTCGGGGGGTGAAGGATAAAATCCTGGTACAGATGCCCCGCCCGGAGGGAGATGTGAAGCATGTGAGTGGCGGTCGCATCATCCATGGGCTCGACCTCCCCGACCGCTGCCTTCCACTTGATGAGGAAGTCGGTCAAGCTTTCCCCTTCGAGCTGCTTGGCCTTTTCGAGGTACATATAAGACTTCCTCACCACTTTAGAAGTAATGAACTTCCGTACAAACTTGATCGCCAGGGTCTCGAATTTGTCGATTGACCCCGGCTGCAGAGTTCGGAACCATTCTGCCGCCCGACCGGTGAGGGTTGAGTAGAAGGCCCTGCACATCACGGCGTCTGAAACGCCCTTCAGCATCATATTGCTGAAAAAATCATTCACGTGAGCCTCAGGATCTGTCTGACCGTCGTAACTCTTCTCTCCCGAGACCTTTAAGTCGAGCGGGTAAGGCTGAGCCATTACCGCTGCTGTGAAAGGCGTCTGGTGTAGGGTCGATCGGTCGGCCGGGGGTGCTGTAGGATACGCACTCCTGAGCTGCGCAACTTCAGCCTGGAGGTTGTAGAGCAATCCTCGGGTTTCGTTGAGCTCGGCGGCTTGAGCGGCTTGGGCTGTATCCCGAGCGCGTCGCCGTCGGTGAGATCTCGACCCGCTATACCCGGATGAAGCCTCGTGGCTAGCTTCCTGCATTTGTACGTCCTCTTGCCCGCGATTCGGGTCTTGGGGTCCCAAACGCTGGCGCATCTCTGGTCGGAGACGATCAAAAGCTACCGCTCGGGCAACTTCTTCAGGGTCCTCCGCTTGAACGGCCTGAGCTGGTGCCTCCATCGCATCAGCACCCCCGACCCCAACCGCGAATGAGCCGAGCGTCGAGCCCGGGATGTGGACTGACGCTGCGGCTCTACTTGTGCGGTCGGTTGTACTGGAGGGGCGGCGGCTGGAGCTGTATAGGCAGGCGTATATGGTGGATAACCAACCGGGGAAGTGTAGCACATCGGTTGTCCTGGCCAATACCCATATGGTGGAGGTGGGACCGGGTACGGATACTGGGCGGGATACATCATGGGCTGCTGCTGGTATGGCAGACCGGGTGTTGGGTATCCTGGTTGTATGTAATTCACCGGCTGCTGGGCGGCCGGGTATGTATTTGACGGATGCGGTGGTGAGAGGTTGAGGTTGAGGTCCATCGTCTGACCCTGCTGTTGGGTAGCATAGTGGTCGGAGGAGCTTGCCGCATCCGCCTGGTCGTCGGCAAAGTTGTTGTGTGCCCACGGATACATGTCGATATAGAGACCGGGTGCTCGTCAAGACGTTGGTTTCTCGTACGATTCCCCACGGACGGCGCCAAAATGATACTGCTAATTATATGTAAGCAATATAAAATAACACGAGACCAATTCAAGCAAGTAAAATCTTTATTGATCACGGTAAAGGCCCTAAGTACAATCTACTTGGTTGCTCTGAGTACCGACTGAGTGCGGTCGGGATTCTCTAACAACAACCTATCGATCGTCCAAAAGTCCTCTACACTGTAGCTACTGTGGGCATTTATAGCCGCTGTGCCGGGGACAAGATTCCGGCTGCTCGGCATGTCTTCCACGTAGCCACCACGTGTCATCTTCCCGGGTGCCCTGTCTGTCGCCATGAAGAGCCGCCACGCGTCCTTTCGCGTCCTTGTGCCAGCTCTTTCGTCGAAGGGCTACCGCTTCGGTGGTCGACACCAGCGTTCGGGCAACTTCCGGCCGTTCCCGACCGGGATCTCTATGAAAAAAGCCCGACCTGCTACCTGCAAGGATCAAAAAAAGAAAGACAAAGGCAAGTCGGTCGTGGCGGAGCTTATGTCGGTCGGGATATTCCCTACCAAGCTATCAGCTAACAGCCATTTTACCAAACAGGGCCTAAGTATTTGATTAATTAGCTTTTTGTACTAAAAAATGCTAAAATTAAAAAAACTACTTAAAATAACTTTTTCAATTAACTTTTTGAGAAAAGAAATTACACCAAACAATTATCAGCTAATAGCTAATTTACCAAACACCGTTCTATAATCAGCTAATGTTATCAACTAGTTATACCCTAATTAACCAAATCAACTAACAATCATTTCCCAAACATGGTTAGTCACTATTTAATTTACTTTGGGGGTCAATTTGATTTTTTTTTTTTTTTTTTTTTTTTTTAAATATGTATGCAAATGTACAAAAACTATACACCAGCCGACGCCGCCGAGATCTCTAGAAAGTTGAAACCCCGTTTCGCCGCTGCCTCTGTATGGTTTCATAGCCGTGTCGAGAAAAAATGCGACTTCTTACCACCCGACTCCGCCAAGCTCTCTACTCCTCCGCCGCCGCCGCCGCCGCTTCTTACCTTCCAACTTCATTCGCTCCTCGTGGTGGTATCTCCAGAGCTCTAACCACTTGTATTCATTCCTCGCCATCTGTTCACTCCCTTAATAATTCCGAATCTCTTCTTAAACCCTACCGCTTCCTCGCATTTCCGTGGTCCGCCACACAACTCCGCGGCGTTAAATTGCGCGGTGCTGATGTAAGTTCCACTTCCGGTGTTTAATAGATGTAGCTGTTTAGTGGTGGCTTTGGAAAGCACTGATTGTCATTTGATGATATTGCGATCAATTTATTGGTTTACAGTGCTTCGATGGTAAAGTTAAAGTTTCGACCTCTTTAAGTGGAGGTTCGGTATGTTAATCACTTAATCTAAATGAGTAATGAAGATATATCTTTGAATCCATGGAATTACTCCTATAAGATTCTGGAATTTAGATAGATATATCTTTTGGTGTTGTGATGTTTGGTGCAAAAGAGCAACAGAATGATGTTGAAACTCTATTGTATGCTTTTATGTTCTTTCATATTTGCTTAATTGAATGGGAAAAGATATTTCCAAGTTTAATGATTTTATGTTGCTTTGGTGTAGGTGAAGCCGGGGAATGTGATCGAGAGAAAAGGTTAGGTATTTTTTGAGAGACTAATATATTTTGGACACCAATTATGCACAAGACTAACATGTTGCTTAAATGTGGTTGCAAAATCAAACTTTTTTTGTACTTAAGGAAAGATTTATCAGGTACAAAGTTGCTTCAAAAGTGTTTTTTTTCCCTAATATAAAACTTTGTTGTTGTTTTATAAGCTTGAATCACAAACTTAAATTGCAAATTGCTTATGAAAATGGAAAATTCCATAGGTGGTGAAGACACAACATACTACGCAAGGAAGAGGAGGAGCTATTATACAGGTAATTTTGTGATCTTTATTTGCTTCAAAAAGCTCAGTTTCATTCTATAATTACTATAATATTAACCAACATTTTGTCTCCATGAGATATCCTAGGTAGAGCTCCGGGATGTTGATAGTGGAAACAAAGTGAATGAAAGATTTCGTACAGATGAGGCAGTTGAGAGTACGGCTTCTGGCATCTTGATCTTTGTCCTATTTTCCTACACTGGATAATTATTTTTAATACTCAACTACATTCAACTAAGTTCATTACCAATCTAATTGAGATCAACTACAGGAGTTCCATTTCTTCATGCCTTATTGATTTATGAAGTGACTATGCATATTTCAGAGGATATTCACATGCTTTTTTGATATACTTTTAAGATATTTGGCATCTTAAAATTTGGCTCATTCTATAAGGAGCTCGTAAGTGCTCTTGAGCATGTTAATAAAGGCAAACCCTAACTCACTTGCAGTGGCCTATTTCCCAAACATTTTTCTGACCATTCCATCTTGATATTAACAGTCTTTACATGTACAGGGGTATTTGCTGAAGAAAAACCTTTTACATACCTTTATACTGATGATGAAACTGGAAATATTGTTCTAATGGAGTGAGTATTCTTGGTTATTTAATGATTTTTACATGATTTTCTTTTTTGCTCATCTACTGTGATTAGGTCAGTCTGTCAGTGTACAATTGAATCGGTTTCTATATATCTAATTTTCATTTTATCATCTTGACTAGGCCTAATACATATGCACAGCTGGATGTACCAAAGCACATGTTCGGTGATTCTTATGTTTTCCTTCAAGGTATTGAAATTAGGTTAAAGATTGTTTATTTGGGGCACTATTCATTTTAAAATTCTTCCATATAACATTTTCTTACTTAAATCTGATGAGCAAAGATTCATCAAGAACATCTCATTATGTGATTTTGAGAAAGAAAGCAGCTTAGCAGAGAAAAGAGTCATATAAATATAAATTGCATATCTGTTATATAATAGAGTATTTTGTTTAGAATATACACTGCAAATCTCAGAGAACAAGTGGTCCTCAAGAAGTCTACCAACAGGTGAGAAACTGAGATCTAACTACCCAAAGCCTGCCAATTTCTATTAATGTAAAAAATCAGATACCCTCAAAAGATGTCTACTACTAGATTGCCCAGAGATGCCAAAAGAGAACTTTCTCATGGAGGAGGTCAATTGCTACAGTTTTTCACAATGATTCTATCATTATCTTTCAACCAAATTGAAGAAGTCACAGCAAAACTTGCCCACTAGCTGTCCGTGAAATCGAGTCTTAGTTTGTTTTTTTGTCTTTCCTTAAGTGAGTTTTGTTTAGGCAGGATAAATGGATTGTTGAATTTGAGATAGGACAAATTCTGCCCTCATTTTTTCATAGTTGGGGGACAGGTGACCAAAATGGAATTCCTTCTATAGTTGAGTGGCCAAGAGAGAAATTAATTATATGTTCCACAGTACTATGGAATTTCATTGTCTTGGAGATTGGTTGTGATTAATGTTTTTCTTGGTTTTCAGTAGCATCTATGATATTGTAGGTTGAGTTTCATGTACTGTAGTTATAATATAATCCCATCATTACATGATACAACCTGAGTTATTGTATATTGGTTATGGATGAAATTAATCCTCACATTTCCATAAACCTGTGGTAAACAGATGATATGAGAGTCTGTGTGCAGTTGTATGATGAAAAGCCGATGTCAGCATCAATTCCTACACGAGTAACATGTACTGTTGCCGAAACTCCAATTCAAGTGAAGGGTGCTTCAGTTACTCCACAGTATGTTACTACCTTGTTTCCCAAATGTAGGACTGCGTGCTCCATAACTGAAACTGATAAGAAAACTAACCCTTTCAAATTATTTCACTTTCTTCTCCCAGATACAAGAAGGCTGTTTTGGACAACGGTGTCACTGTCCAGGTGAGTTTAAGTAAAGAATATTTTCTTTCTGATTGACCTTAGTTTTAACGTTAGGCATGTGGAAACCACTCCAGACAACAATTTCTTTCATTGCTACTTGGCAGCTATTGAATATTTTCTTTTGGTCAAGCCATGAGGTGCCCTGAGCAGGCCCCAACTGTAGGAGGCACATTTAAGCCTGTATCACACTCAGACTAATCCCCATTCGCACCGGGCCGGCCCAATTAAGGGGCAAAGTGCTGGCCAGATTGGTTTTTCCATACGATAGGGGGTTTGAACTCCCGACCTCTCTTAAGGGATGAGAACAGCTATTGAATATTTACACATCAAGTTTTAAACTGTAGCCTTATTTCTACTTTGGCATATGTTCATTTCTAGGTACCTGGGCACATCTTACCCGGGGACAAGATAATTATCAATACTACTGACAACTCTTACATGAGCAAGTAAGTGCACATGTGCTCTCTATATTCTGCTTGCAAACTGTGATAAGATATGCTAAGAGTCAAACCACTTGCTTACTGAAACATAATAACACCTGTTGCTATTCATTATTCAGGGCTTAGAGATCAGAGTGGTTTAACATGATTCATTATCAATCAACTGCACTCTCATTGTTGGCAAACATTCTTTGTTGACATTGCAGCTCGATAGATGTAACAAGCATTCTAATAATTCAACTGCATTTTTAATAATGTTATCTTTAGTTTTACATGGTGAATTTTTGTTGGATGTTAAATAGTAAGATTAGAACAGTGGCTTGGAGAGTGTTTTAATTTTGTTTTTTTTTAATGGCAGATTTTTAGACATTGAGTTCTCTAGTGTTGATCTTGGACCTTAGAGAAAATAAGAAGTGTAGTATTGTAATCTTGAATTATATTGATTATGAGAATTAGTAGTGATTATATGCCAGTAATGTAGCATCAACACATCAACGTGGTTAAATTTTTAATGATTATACATGTTCACATTAAATAATGGAGACAGAGTGAAAATGGTCAAATAGATCTTCAAACTATGACCTTTTTGGTAACATAGTTAGCTTATCTAATTTTGGCTTATTTGACAACTATTAGCTGTTTGATTTGATTAAACAATCAATTTTAAGTGGTTGATTAATTATTTTTTGTAACAATTTATTATTCCAAAATTTTAAAATTCAAAAAGATGTTCAAAGTAGATTTTTTGACCTGCTCTTTGAGAAAGTTATTTTGCTGTAATCAGCTAACGATTAATTTATTAAACACTTTTCTACAATCAGTTAATTCTATTAATTACTCAAACTCACTAACCCACTCAGCTAACAATTAATTTATCAAACACTTTTTTACAATCAGTTAATTCTATTAATTAGTCAAACTCACTAACTCACTCAGCTAACAACTACGGAGTATTTACTAAACACCCCAATGACTTGTCCGCTGCCATGGTAACCAAAGATTTTTTTTTAAAATTTTTTTAAGACACTTTGATATGTTATTTTATTCTATTTTTATTGTTTTTACAGATTAGGTTACTGGTAAAGAAAAGTTTAATTACACAATTTTTGAGTGTGTAAATGATTTTTTTTTTTTTTAAATTCAAGAGCCCAATTGTTGTTTCACCAATAAATAAAGGGCTTATTTTTCCAATAAACTCATGCATAATATTCAATTTAATTTAGAAATTGATTAATTATTCAATTTCTATTTTTTTTTTTTAAACTTACCACACACTAAAATACAACTCTTAAAATTATTCCTTGAATGAACGAAATAGAAATTCTATTTTATAAGTGCCAAGGATTTATTAAGTAACCAGACTACTATACATCCGGAGGGAAAGTACAAGAATTACTTTGGTTAATGATTTTCTTTGGAATTTTTAAAGAAATAAATCACCAAAAAAAAAATAAAATCGAAATCCCTGCCCTAAAATATCTAGAATCAGTCAAGATAATAACCCAAAAGTTAATGAATGAAAATGTGTAACCAGTGATTTTGGTGTAATGGTACGAAATTACAAAAGCATTGCAAGAAGTGCATTATTATTACGTTAGATAAATACAAAAGCTTTAACTCAATCTTCATCTTTAATTTGTTTCTCTCCCCCTCTTACCATCCTGCATTCTTCTCAATCTTCTGGATTTGGTTGAGGAATATCCATGTCAACTGCACAAGAACGATCCGGCAGGCAGGCGTTTAGATAAGGAGAAAGGAGATGATTTTGGCGTCAAACATACATATGAGAGGATGATGGAGTGACTTACCATGACATGAGGCGCAATTCTAACGCAATATACTGGAAATCCGGTGTAGAATTTGAGAGGCCCTCCCGCCTTGAGTGTCTTCATGGCGCAATCCAAAGAACCCGTGTAGGGATATTTCCCTTCAGCATCCGGTTGCATCTTCTGTATTTGCGTTTTCACGTAATCAAACGGTAAACTGCAAGCAGAAGCAAAGAATCCCGAGACGCTGCTAGCCCCTAGACGAACATAAACACTTTATTTAACTAAAACGAGACGAGTATTTGACACTAAGGGGAGCAAAAGTTCATTAGAAGTCATACAGAATCCATCTGGTGGAGCTTATAATGATTCTTTACAATGCAGTATCTGTTCTATAGGTTCGATCCTCTGACCAGTGACCACCCATTTGGAATGGTAACAGATGCAGAAGACAATTAACGAGACTAAAGGAAAATAGTCTTACCTAACACAGTGGCGGCTTCTCCCATACCGAGATTATCCTTGAAGAACTCCACGCTTTGATCATAAGAAGCGAGCATCCCCATGTTTAGCGCCATTGCCCTCACCACAGTCGGCCCAGCCCCCTTCCAGAGGGCTAGAACCCCTTCATCAGCAGCAATGCGGTAAAGCGCATGAAAGGCATTCGTGTAGTTACGCCGTTGGGCAGCAGGCAACGTCGCATCCGCCTGCATACGGATGAGTGCTAAATCGGCTGGATTGCCAACGCACGCTCCAATTGCTCCCGCTGTCAGTCCACACAACGCCTTCTGATACAAAGGCAAGGGCTTCCCATCGTTGGCTTCAACGGCCTTGTTCGTTAGAATTCTATGACGACAAAGTTAGCAAATAAGCATAGAGATCAATATCACTTATTCACCAGCCTTCCTTGTTAAAAGCTCGGTTTGGCAAAGGCAGCAAGTAGGCATAAAGATGAATATCGTTCAATTAAAAAAATCTAGACGGTCTTATGTTGTTTAAACACATGCCATAAACCGAAAAATAGTACAGATCGAGTAACATATACTCAAGACTACAATGCAAAGGTGAAAATCACATAAGAATTCACCTGAATGATCCAAGTCGTGCAGTAGTATAAGTAGCTTGTCTAAGCAACCCTGCAGACAACCCCTGCTCAAGATGATAATATAATCAACATTAAAAAGAGGCAATAAATAAATATGATCACACAAGATTTCCAGTTCGTGCATTATTATGTTATTAAATAAGTTACTTTAATTGCAGAAATTAAAAATTGCAGCTAATAAGAATAAAACTAGTCTAAAAGTTAGATGGCCGGAGGGAGTATCATGGAACCCTCCTTGGCAATTCAACTCCAAAAGATTGTGCAACAACATATACGACACGCCATGCAAGCATATGACGAATATTACTGTTTGACACTGCCCGAGATGGTATTGGAATAACCAATTCAGTACTATTGGAATAACCAATTCAGTATTATTAGGATCAAACGCTTACCACTATGTCAAAAACTATTGCTCATAGTGAATTCAGTACTATTGGAATAACCAGATGGTATTGGAAAAACCAATTCAGTATGGTTAGGATCAAGCGCTTACCACTACGCCAAAAACTATAACTCTATGACTCGAACTACCTGGCTCTGATACCACTTGTTAGGATCAAGCGCTTACCACTACCGCCAAAAGCTATAGCTCGTAATGAAGACTCAATCTTATTTTCTTATACCGCCACACATTTTCGAGAGCTAGGGTGCTGGACTGGCCCTTTATTGGCCTTTGCCCAACAATTCCTTAAACTACATGGTGCTAGACTTGGCCCTTTGTAGGCCTTTGCCCAACAATCCCCCTAGCCACATGGTACTGGACTTGGCCCTTACCGGCCTCCGCCAAACAAGTATTTCAGTTCCTTGGTCTTGCTAAGTAAATACAAAACCGGAATGTAGTATGGAGTTGCCAAACTCCAAGCTTCTTGTTCAAGCAGGGGAATTCATGGTCCTCTATCTAAACCTAATATTCAAAATGATGGACTAACCTAACCTGGGACAATTAAAGCAGAAGGATAGAATGCCTATCATCATCACACTTGTGTGACTTAGAATTAGATTACCTAATGGAGTATTATTGATGTTCAAATGCTAAACTAATTCAAAGAATCAAATGCTGTAGAGTGTAGACAAACCTTGTATAAGGCACCAAACCCCTCATTTTTAATCATGTTCTTGGTCACCTCTCCAGCTGATCCCTGACCCAATTGTATTCTTACCTGCCATCAATGTAAGAAAAAAGTCAAAAACTTCAGACCCATCAAAGTTATGTCTTTCACAATTACTACCACCACATCAAATGCAGATTCCCTAAAAGATGAAAATGGTTCCATGATAAGCCTTATTATTATTATTATTATTATTATTATGGGTTGTTTGGTTGGATGTAGTTACAATTCATTTACAACATAATTCTTTGACATCCTAAATTACGGTGTTTGGTTGGAGGGAATTGCAATTCCATTCCATTTGAGGAATTGAAATTCATAGACTCCTCCGGGGAATTCCAATTCGGTGGTAGCTTGGAAAGGGAAAAACAAGAAAATGACAAAATTGCCCTTGATTATTATTATTACTAAACAAGGGCATTTTAGTCTTTATAGCACTTCTTCGTTTCTCACTCTTTATAATTCTATTCATCCCTACCAAACAATATAATTTGAATTCCTATTTTATTCATACCTCATTCTTTTCACACCGAATTACAATTCATTTCCTTCCTAAATCCTCTTCCCAACCAAATGCTTTGTTATTTTCTTCTTTTATATATTAGATTTCGCAACTTAAGCCAGACTAATTCTAAGACCTAAGGACCCTTGTCCAAGGGTCATTGGGAGATAAGTTGTGAAACGTTCAAACAACCTCCCAGTCAGTCTTATCTTTGACTCTGCACACAAGAAATCTATCATTACACTTCCGCCAACTCGGAGAGCCCAAGTAGTAGCTTCCAATGTAGTAAAAGGCAGGCTAAGCTAATAGCCTGATACTGGCCACATAATCTCAAAACCATTCAAATTTTAGACACTAGTGATAAACATTTTGGGAAAACACCTAAAAGACACACACACACCAAGAAAATGGAAGTGTAGAAAGACAGAAGCAGGTTACCTTGACCATATCAATGGGCTGGACGGCGCAGGTGGCTAGCATACCAGAGCAACCGCCATTAACGAAAGGCTTGACGGCGGACCAAACGCCGGCGGTGGGCTTGGGCTTCTCCTGTGCCATTTTCTTGATTTCCCGGTGAAGATGGAAGTGAAAAATGAGCAGGGGATGGGGGGTTAGCGAATGTATAGAGAGATAGAGAGAGCCACAAAGCTGAAAGCAGTAATGTTTGAGAGGAGCCACAAAAGCAGCATGGAATCAGTGCTTGCTGCCACAAAACGAAGCACCAACTTGGCCCTTTGCTTTTCAAATATTTACGCTCACTACCACAAATTTTATTTGGCCTAATGATCAATTTAGCCCTCTTATTTTGCAAAACCTGTCAATTCGATTCCTATGTTTTAATTTGCTCTTTTTTTTTTTTTTTTTTTTTTTGAAAATTTTAACAAATAGAACTAATTTAAAC